AACTGATGATGGTGGAAAACACCGAAACGTTTTTTTAATTGATAAATAGACAATAAATGACTGAAGAACCCAGGATTTGATTTTAATTTGGAATTGAAACAGTCAGGAAAGTACGTACAAATTGTACCTAAACCTTTAAAAAGCGAAATAAATGTAAATCCCTATATTAACGACGCTAAAATCCAACCTTAATGTAAAGCTCATTCCAAGTCAATTGAGACATTGAATAAAATACAAAGTGCCGATAACTGGCATGAAGTTTTTTGTACCATCATCTCAATTGACTTTACCGATTTGCATCAAATGCTTCTATCGCCTGAGAATAATTAGCTGCTCAAGCAATTTGTGTTTGCTTGATTCCAACTTTGCAAATTCAATATTTTGCATTTTACAATGAGTAATTTTCGGATAATGATGCAACAGGGTCAGTAAATAGAGATGGTATTGCTTTGAAATTGTACGGAAAAAGTCAATTTTTAAAATGCGACTGTGCCAACAAGCTCAAAAATGTAAAAAGCGATTTGCAATTTGTAAAAAGCTCAAGCAGAGTTCAACGGTTCAGTTGTTTGACCTGTAAAAAGTATTGTAAAAAGTGAACTTGCAAATATAGTATTATTACCTATATTGTTGGGTTTTTATTCCATTACCTGGATGTTGTTTTAAATCGCAACCGCTCGGCAAACTACCCAAAGCCTAAGGCAAATAAATCTCGATTAACTTTATTTTATAATTCTAAACATGTACGTGAGGTGTGGACTTTTCGGAGTAGATAAAGACGAGTGTGCTTTTCGGTCAACAGATTCAACAAAAAAAAAACTGTCATGCACCAACGTTTCGGCTGAGTTTGACCCATCAGGGCTGAAGAAGAAATCAGTTCTTGAACATAAAATTGTTCTCCATAGATGTCGCAGGGAAAATAATTGCAGATTCCAACCTTGCATTTTAACTACCAGATGCCACTAAAGTAGCTGTATTTTAAATTTCCCCAGCTAACATTAATCAATTTAATGTAATTCTCATTTGGCTTGGTATTTTCCTGTTAGCTCGAACGTCGCTGATTTAAACTGCGGACTCTTCGGACTTTTACTGAACACTGCTCTAAAAAATGTTTTTTATTTGTTTAAACAAATTGTTTTATAAGGTGACGCAAAACATACTACATTAACAAATAACCAATAAAAATATAGCAACAATTCCCCTGTGTACCCTCTCCCTCGCCTTTTGAGGTCTATTGAGTTTGTTTGAATTTTTTTTTGTCTGTATCTAAATGCGACTTTTTTAAGCATCCTCTTACACAAGGTAGACAAATTTTGCCCATTCAAATCCGCATCTGCATTAACATATCGAGTGGTAACCATGGCGTAAAGATAACGACGTCTGTGCGGCGTCCTGTGACGTTCAAAGACGCCGACGACGCCAAGTGGCGACCCTTCACTCTGCACTAAAGGCATTGGAAACTTGTCGAGCGAATGTCAAAAGTCATCTTGCATTACTGTATAAATTGAACAAATTATTAGTCCCGTTTCAGGGGAAAGACAGACGTTATTTTGCAGATAAACCGTTAAAAATGTTCGACTAATGGATTCAATGCCTAGTCACAGTTCGATCCGGGAAATGTTGACTATTTTCGCTTCAAAATGCGCCACTTTATTTTCACTGAAGTATTTTCGACTGCTTTAAATAAAGCAAGGGTGTTGATATTTCTCTTTGTGCAGAATTCCTCTTGGCGTGTTATAATTCCAATTCAAAAATTAGACGCCGAGAGAGACTTTGAAATGGAAACTAACTGAATTTTTAAACGAAGAGCTTTGTATATATATGGAAGTCATTAATTCAGACAATACAATTAAAAAAAACTTCAAAGTTGTTTGCCTCGCCACCCTTTGATGTATCCTCAACAGGATCGTTTTGTGAATGATATTTGTGTAGACAATCAACTGCTACATATTTGAAATAATTGAAATCGTTCGAAATATCGGCCATTGCGCTACATTGTGCAGATTCACAAGTGGAAACGAACTAATTTTAAGCCTGATTACTGGCAATACCTGAAATTCCAGATTGAATAGTACAGCAAGCGTGCTTATATTTCTAAACGGTTTATTATTGAAGCTTATTCGAATTCCGCCAGTTTTCAAGTCGGATATTAAAGTCAGTTATTAGGTTTTGTATCAGGAACGAGTTTCTATACCGCCGACTGCGTTGCAAAGGATTATTAAGTTTTCAATATAAACTACTTTTACCCCAAATATTTTATTTGCATGTTCACAGATTTAACGCACGAAATTTCAGAGATTTTTTTTGTGACAACTGCCATGCAATTCAATTTTCCAAAAAAGAAGTCCGGCGTCATTGCCGAGTTTATTAATATTAAGAATTTTCCTTTGGGATTTTTAAAATCCTCTTTTTTGCTCGCAAATATTATCTTCAAACATATTGACTAGTTATATGAAAAAAATTGTTTCATAGTTTTTGAGTACAACGCAGAAAAGCATGCTCTATCTAAGATGTCGAGAGGATGAAAACGTCCTTTATCAATCTAATCGGCAATATGCATTTTAAGCTGAAACCTAAGCCTAAAGTGTAAAATGCCCCATATCTAATCGATCCAGTGTGTGAATATAATAGGGCAATCACGCTATTAAAGAACGGTTTGGACTTTCAAGTTGAAGAGGGTGTGTAATCGTGTTTATGGCATGTTTTATTAGTTTAAATAATTTTGATCCGTTTTAAGCACCGATTATTAAACTGATTATCATATCTGGGTCAACTAATTTTGATCGTTCCGATCAAGTCAGGAAAATGATGAAATTTAGCTGGAAACTGTGACATTTGCTCTTTTTCGCTTCTATGATTTCAAGTTTAAGTTTGGCAGCTTCCGAAAAAATTTTTTTTTTCGCAACTGCAATGGAATTTTCTAGTTTGATAGCTGTGTAACTTCTGCATGAATTTGCACCAAATGCACGAACTTAGTTTCCTGCAATTTTTTTTATGGACACGCAAAGCGGGAGTTTACGCCTCCACTTCGCCACCATCGCAAAAAATAGCTCCGGTCTCAATTTCAGTGAAATTTGGTATTTGGTCGGGAATGTACGCTATTTAAGCCTGGCTTTGATTTGTAAGCGATATACAAACCTGTTTTCCTGCAAAACATATTTTTATTCCGGCTATTACAAGCGTCGGGACTTCGTGCCAAGTTCAACGCCAAAAATCGGCCCTTCACTGCATTTCAATGAAATTTTGTGCATTGGCAGCACTACTATATGTTGTAAAAATCTTGCCAGTCAATATGAAAACTACTTTTGGAGCCCAGAGGTCAGCTCAAGTTTCAATTTCAATAGAATTTGATTTATTGCAGGTGCGACAAGCTGATTGTGACAAACGATTCTTCCAGTTGACTGACCAACTATTTAAAACTTTGGCGCTCAGCTTAAGGTCGCCCAAGAAAATTACCGTCTCTGTTTCCTGCACAAGTTGACAATTAAGAACAATTTATATTAATCAATTATCATTATTATCACAGGCAATTATTTTACGTGCAAGTTTGACGCAAGGAAGGAATGAGCCGGTATGTTCAAAAGGGAACCAGCAGCCCCAGGAGAGCAAATTGAGAGAAGATATGAATGAATTTGACCGCGAAATTTTAGTGCAACACGATGTAACAAAGCCACAACATGTGGTCATCGAAATTACAAATCTAGTGGATATACCCACGGTGCCCGGCAGTGAAAATACTCAATGCCCTCTCTTTCACAATGGAACCGTTCGTTTTGCAGCATCCAGATTAAGCAGTTCCTTTTCTTCCCCTCCAACGGACATACACAACAACTACTTTGCTAATATCCTTAAGCAGATTACATCGTAGTTACATTGGTTCTTCAACGCTATAAGCGAGCCAGAGGCGTAGAGCTTCAAGTAACAGCTCAATTTTTTTCTGCAAAATCACATAGTTTTACCAACTATGCAAAGATCGGAAGAATATTTTGAAGGAAAACAGACTGGAGTTGCACTTGAATTAGATTTTGTCAAAAAGTTGCCTACTATTGAGTAAGACCTGGAAAATAATCGTCTTCTCCGCCTATGTTGCTGAAGATCAGTAGCCCATACGGTTTTTGGTCTTATTTAACACAGGATGCCGCTCTTTCATAGTCCGCCGCTCACACTTTTCTACGATTATCCGATCGCTTTTGTTGATCGCTTTAAATGGCTTAACCGCCCCCAAATTTTTTCTACAACTACTTGCACAAGTGGAATGTCCGAATGTGTAAGGCGAATAATGATTGACACTAAATACCTTTCGGGCTGATGTTTCGCTCTAAACCGCACAACCGTTTAGAGCGATTAATTGAGAAGACAGCAGTTAGATTTTCGAATCAACTGAACTAAATGACACACTGAGTTCGAAGTGCTTCTATGCACTTATTAAATTATATAGAAAGCTACAAATGTATAGC